GCCGGAGACCCCCTCTCCGTCGAGTCGCTCGCTCTTGACCGGCGGCTCCCCCTCCATCCGGGAGCCTCCCGTGCGGGCAGTCGGCGCCGTGTCGCCCCTCCGGATCGAGCCCCCGGGGGAGCGCTTGCTCACGGAGGAAGCCTCCGCTGGGAAAGACCGAGAGACGCGAAAGCGAAAGCGAGGCGTGCAGACGACCCTCCTCCCTTCCGGGCCCGCCTCGCTCCGGTTGCTGAAGGGAATCCTGAATGTCCGAACGAAACTGTTACAAGTGACCTTGTTGACTGTTCCCTTTCCTTTCCTTCCTTTTCCTTGATCTTGTCTTGGTTCTTTTCAGACTTTGTCAAATGATGAATCTCTTCGCCTTTTCTTGCCCACTCTGGAGTCCAGCTTTCCATTTGGAGTATGTTTAACCAGGATTTTCCTTCGTCTTCCGCCAAAGTATCCTTTATACTGTAATATTCTTCTCATTTATCTTTTTCATCCAACTTTTTATTGTGTTTAACCCTTTCTCTATTAACAGTTCAACTTTATTTTTAAGAGTTTTGGGGAAACTCTGGACCTTGTAAATTCCATGTAACATAAATTCCTAAATATTTAAATATACTCCCTGTTCTTCCTTTAAATTATTTTTTCTGCTCCTTCTTGTGTGCTTCACAATGATTTAATAAAATATATTCAGATCTGTCCCAATTCCTTGGATGTTTGGCCCAGAAGAGGCAATTAAGAGGCATTGGCCCTACAAAAGACCAGCTCCTCCCAGGTTGCTGATCCAACTCTCTGCATCTTGAGCCTGGAGGATTTCTATGGAGATGGGCAGGACCAGTGTCTCCAAACTTGCCCCCACACCACTGTATATCTTTCCCTGTAGAAGGAGGTAACTCTGCACATGTTCAGAGGCCCCCGACCTTATCCAGCCATTCCTCCCTTGCTCAAGGTGGCTTTGGCCTTCCTTTCTCTCCTTCTGCAGCAAGTAGGACCAGGCTGAACCCCGGGCCACCTGCTGACCCATGGATAGATCCAGAGTTAGTTGGCCCTTTCTAATGCGAAAGGTTGGAGGGGTGGTTCCCCTTTAACCCATAGTTAAGAGCTATTGGCCTTACAAAAGACCACCTCCTCCTATGTCCATTGGAGCCAAGATAGCTGCCTGTGTTGAGGGACTCTGCTCCTCTTGAGAGTGCCCTGGACTCTCCATTCTGAAGGAAATCAACCCTGAGCGCTCACTGGAAGGACAGATCCTGAAGTCGAGGCTCCAATCCTCTGGCCATCTCATGAGAAGAGAAGACTCCCTGGAATAGACCCTGATGTTGGGAAAGTGTGAAGGCAAGAGGAGAAGGGGACGACCGAGGATGTGATGGCTGGACAGTGTCTGCGAAGCAACCAAAATGAATTTGACCCAACTCTGGGAGGCAGTAGAAGACAGGAGGGCCTGGCGTGCTCTGGTCCATGGGGTCACGAAGAGTCGGACATGACTTAATGACTAAACAAAGTCCCAAGGGTGAAGGTGGCATGGGGGGGGCATTTATTGTGTCTAGTCACTGCTGAGTTTGTATTTTAGTTTTAATTTTGTTAGTTGTAATTTTCCTTTTATCAATGTGTTTCTTTAAAGCTTGTGCATTACAGCAGCAGGGACAGCCTGTGAGATCAGGGGCGGAGGCTGAGAAGGAGAGAACCTTTTCTCTCCCAGCTGCTACGGGGGGGGGGCGCGGGCGGCTGACCTGCCCCCTTTCATACAGAAAAAGCAGGCAGCCCTCTCATGAGGGTGTGAGTGGGGGAGTCAACAGGCTGTCCCCTGGAACCAAAGGTCGGTAAGTGCTGGACGGGGTGCCTCCTTTCTTTCCTGCTCATGGTTCCCACTCGGCTGGTCACACCACATCCATGCAACTGGTAAATGGGATGCATTTCAGTAAAGTTCCTCTGCAAACCAGGGGCAAAGAAATAGTTGAAGAATAAAAAAAGAAAGCTGAGTCCAACAATGACAGGCAGAAAGTAACCCCGGGCGGATGTAATGAAGGCACATGTCAACAGAGACAAAGGACACCTTTTTCAGGAACAGGTGCAGCTGGTGCACGAGATTTAATTGTGCAGCAAAGGCACCCCTGGACACTGCCAAAACCTGAGCATCCAGACTCACTGAGATAAATCCAGGAACATCCCTGAACTGCACAGCTGTGTTTTCAAGGGCAGGCCAACCCCATCCAGCAGAAGCTGCATCTCTCTTCCTTGATCTGCCTTTGGACTGACCGGGAGCACCCCTGCCTTGTCTGGATCAAGTTTCAGTTTATTCCTCCTGATCCAGCCTCTTATGGACACCAGACACTGAAATAGAGCCGCTTCCTCGGATTTAGACTTCCAGGAGAGGTAGAGTTGGGTGTCAGCCGCATACGGGTGACACCCAACATCCCAAAGCCTGGACCACCTCTCCCAGCGGCTTCCTGTAGATGTTAAGAAGTGTGGAGGACGCAGCAGAACCCTGGGGGGCCCTACAGGCCAGTGGCCAGGGTGTCCATCAGGAACCCCCCAGCAGCACCTTCTGGGTTCTCCCCTCCAGGAAGGGTCAGAGCCACCATGAAACGGGGCCTCCAAGTCCATCTGAGAAAGACGGGCCAGAAAGATCCTGTGGCGGATGGTTTCAAAAGCCCCAGAGAGGTCCAGCAGAACCAACAGGGACACAGACAACCCCCCCTTGCCCTGTTTCCAACACAGGGGTGAGAAAGTGGACAGGGGAGAGGATCCGCCGGTCAGTGCACCATCTGGCCCCTGGGTAAAAGAGGGAGCCCCGGAATCGCAGGAGGCTACTGAAAGGGCGTCCCTCCCCACAGGATCGGAGAAGCTGGGACAGGAAGCAAAGGCAGGAACAGGGGAAGGGGCAGGAGGGGCAGAGCCAGAACAGGAGGGGGAGAGCTAGAAACAAGGAAGAACACTCCTCAGGGAGGAGGGAAACAAGAAGCAAGCCGTTTTTGGTTAAGGAAGGGAAGGAAGCTTAGCCTTTGGTGGTGAAACAGGGTCCCTTGGCTGGGGAATGGGCCAGGTATTATATTCCCAAGAGAGAGGCAGAAACGGAAGGGTTCCAAGGACCTCCTCCCCATAAGCCCTTGTCCTGTGGGGAAAGGGAAGGGAAAGAGGACTTGTGCACAGGGAGAGAGAGGGAGAAAAGGAATGAAGGATGCAAGAAGAGCAAGCGAGCGAGAGAGAGAGATCTGAGGCAGGGAGGTGGGAATAACCTTACAACCTGGAATGGGGGGGACCAGGGGGAGAGCCCAGTTTACACAAGTGTAATCCCTTTTTGCCTCAGGGCAGGATGAACTGGGAGGAGGGGAGAGGACCAAAGGCATCACCCACGTTAAAAACTGGGAGACACGGAGGAATTGACAAAGGGACCCGACCCGTAAAGGGAAGAGCAGAGGTACGGGATTTCTCCTTGCTGTCTATTAATGGTTTGCCCCTTCTTCTAAAACCAGTTTGGAAGGTCAGCCAGAAAAGGTGGTTGAAAGATTTGTAGGACCCAAAAGAGGTGATTGTTGAAAGTCATTGTGTATTAGTATTAGGCATCCTTCAGTCTCGAGAGATGAGGGTCACATGCTCTGTATGGAGGACTTGGAACAGCGTCTAGTGTGGCTGAGAAGGCCAATTCAAGAGGGACACAATCCCTTCCATACTGAGGACAAATCCAATCTCTCCCCTGTCCAGCTCCCTGGTTTTGCTGCTTCTGGGACTTCCTCTTTGCCTCGGCCTGCTGGACAAGGGTCTCTTCAAATTGGGAGAGGCCGTGATGCA